TAACGTCGCTTTCCCTGGGCATACAGAGACTCCTTGCTCTTCTTGTACTGTGTCACTTGTGGGACAGGCACTTGTCACATTTCCTACCCAATGTCCGGTGGGTTTTAGGAACATTCACCATTGTTTTCTGGAGCACTAGCAGCACAGAAAGAAAAAGGTTGGGCCAGAAATGGAAGTATCAGTATAGACTTCTTGAGACAGGGTCTCCCTGTAGCTCTGGCTGGCCTGTCACTATTTAGACAGGCTGGCCTTTTTCTCACAGTGATCCTCCTGTCTCTGCCTCCCAAGTACTGGAATTAAAGGCATGCAACCAGCAGTAGTACGAACTTTTTAAATAAAATTACCTAGGCCCACGTACCTTAAATAATTGACATTAAACTAAGAAGTTCAAAGTTAAAGTACCAATAGATTGTCTGGTAAGGCTCTTCTTCCTGGTTTACTTATGGCTGTGTTCTTGATGTATCCTCCTGTGGTAAAAAGAGAAAGCTCTGGTCTCTTTCTCTTCTTACCTATTGGAGTATGTGGCTCACACTTCATGACTGCATCTAACCCTGATTCCCTTTTAGAGGCCCATTGGAGATTCAGACTTTAAGACATGAATTGGGGGATAAAACAGGGAAAACCAATATTTTTCCTTTATATTCACAGACTTTATCAGGTGATGGGTTAGTTTTTTCCAAATCTGTCAATCCCTCAAACTTTCTAGACACCAACCGGATGGCTTACAATTAAATTATGACTCTAAATACCTAGCGTTGGTTCAGACTCAGGTCAGAGACTCAGCAATACAAGACCACACCCGACTTCAGATGCTAGTTACAAGTTGTGAAGCTATAGGCTATTCACACTTCTGTCAAACTTGTCTGCAAATTAAAGGGTTTCCATGACTTCCTCCTCAGGTCTGGTAATTTGCTGTAGTAGCTCACAGAACCCAAGGAAACATACTCATTGGTGTATTAGAAAGGATATGATAAAGAAAACCAATGAAGGAACAGTTGAAGTACATTAAGGTCTAAAAGGATTGAATCCCAGAACATCTGTCCCTGTGACCATGTGCCACTTCTCAGCACATGGATATGTTAATCACCCCAGAAACTCTGAACTCCATTTTCTAGGGTTTCCTTTTTTTCTCCTTTTGCCCCCCACCTTTTTTTGGTCTTTTTGAGACAGGGGTTCCCTGTAGCCCCAGCTGGCCTGGGACTCACTTTGTAGACCATGGTGGCCTTGAACTCACAGAGATCCGCCTGCCTCTGCCTCCCAAGTGCTAGGATTAAAGGTGTGTGCCACCACGCCTGGCAAGATTTCTTTTTTTTTTTTTAATGTTTTATTTATTTTTAAAAAATTTTATGTGTACACATGTGTTGCCTGCATGTAGATGTAGGTAAGTGCACCCATGTCGTGCAGTGCCCTCGGAGGACAGAAGAGAGCTTTCGGAGTCCCTGGAACTGGAGTTACAGTTGTTAGCTGCCATGTGGGTGCTGGGATTCAAGTCCAGGTCTTCTGCAAGAACAGTCCGTGTTCTTAAGTGCTGAGCCATCTCTCCAGCCGTAGGGTTTCTTTTTATAGAGGCTTCATCAGGTAGGGAGCATCAATTTAATTAACTACATCTCCAGCCCCTTTTCTCTCCCTGGAGGGTGGGGAATGAGACTGAAAGTTCCAAGCTACCAATTATAGTTTGGTCTTTCTGGTATCTAGCCCCCGCTATGAGGCTAACCAGGAGCCTGCTAAGCAGAACAGAAGCACCCAGGAAATTCTAACGGCTGTGGAATTCAGTGGCAGGAAGTGGGCAGAAACCAAGAATATTTCTCAGTACATCACAGTGGTATACAAACATTCAGGATCCCATAGCAGGATCATTAAGGGCCATCTTGGAAAGCTGTCTACCATGGTTGTATCTATATTTAGATACAGCTCTTTCACTAGGCCAAACAATCTAGCATGTGGTTGTGAAACACTAATATGCTCATTGTGGTAGGCTGAATAATGACACCCGCCCCCCCCCAAAGATAGACTGTAATCCCAATTCTATCACTGTGTGACCTTAGATGGCATAACGGACTTTGCAAGTGTGGCTAAAGATTTGGGAAGGTGAGATTATCCGAGATTATCTATGTGGGTCCAGTGTACTTATAGGAAGGTCTGGGTCAGGGAAGGCACTAAGACAGTGGAAGCCAAGGGAGACAAGGAAAGGTGAAGAGGGAACTGAAGAGGGTGTGGTCCTAAACTGTGGGCTGCTTCTTAGAAAAGTAAAGAACTCTTCCCTGGATCCTTCAAGTATGGCTCAGCTCTGCTGACACTTAGCCCTATAAGTCCCAATTAGTACTGCTGACCCTAAGAGATGAAAGGTTAATAAATACTGTTGTTGTAAGACAGTTAGTTGGTTTGTGGTCATTTGTTCCAGTAGCAGTTGGAATCTACACTCTTCACCAGTAGGCCTTGAGGAAACCCATTCATTATGCTTTTTAAAGAACAAAGGCTTTGGGGCTGGAGAGATGACTCAGCAGTTAAGAGCACTGACTGCTCTTACAGAGGACCCAGGTTCGATTCCCAGCACCCACATGTTGGCTACGAACCGTCCTTAACTCCAGTTCCAGGGGAATCTGAAGCCCTCTTCTGACCCCCGCGGCATTGCACGACATGGGTGCACTCACATACGTGCAGGCAATACACTTGTACACATAAAGTAAAAATAATAAGATATTTTTTTTAAAAAAGAACAAAGGCTTTAAGTACAAGGTATAAGTAGGCTTCTGAGGGCTGTTTTCTTGCTCTCTGGCAACTCTGAAGCTTTTTGTTTTGTTGTTAGCATATATTCATTGTATAAAGCTGTAGCCTTCATAAAGGCATTGTAACACAAGTACTTTCATATACTTTGGTTCAAGGATATCATGTACTTTGACCATACTCACTCCCCCCCATTACCCTCTTCTGTTTCTCCTGTTCAACTTCCCACTATTCTTCCTTTTCTCAAATAGTCCTACTTCATAGATATAGGCAGTTGATAGATAAAAGACTGTGGAGATAGCTCAGTAATAGGACCTGAATTTGATCTCCCATAACACATATAAAAAAAAGTCAGGCTGCTTCCCTGCGCCTGCATGACCCGCAGGCCTCTCTCCGGGAAGCCTTTGAGAGGGAACTGACACTGATTCTACTCCAACAGCTATCAAAATACATGAAAGCAAATCCTGAATCCATCACTCTAGAGTCCAGCCTTGGAAGACAAAAGAAAAATGAGGAATAACCCAATAGAAGGATGCTTTTGGAAGTCTTTGTCAAGAAATTCCAGTGGACTCTCATATGAATATTTGAAATTTGTCCTGTTCTGACTTTTTTCTAGTTCCCTGTCTAGAACTTGTAATGCTAATTACTCTTGCTTTTACTTCTCCTTCACATCTCCTATTCAGGATTCAAGGACTTTCTTTTCCCCTTACAGATAAGAGTTATGTAATTTGGGAGTCTTTTAGATAGACCCACTGAAGGGGTACTCCAATTGCCTCACCCTGTGTCCCTGTTCACCATGGAAGAAGCTGGAGCGGTCTGTGTCCCTATTCCCTATTGGCAATTTGGGTATCCCCTTCAGAGGATGGCATGATAAGAATAGGACATAGGAATTGGCTAGGCAGTTAGGGTAAAAAGACCCCAAAGAAAAGTAGCCAGTTTCTTGTCTAAAAGTCAAAATGTCCTTGGGCCTGTTAGCAACACACACTGTTCCATAGGCCAAAAATGTCAAAAAGTATTTAGGAGCTTGTATCTAATCCTTAAAAGATTTTAGGGTTACCACTTCAGAGGGAGGAATGTTAAAGTACCCAAAAGCCCCATGAAAATAAATAAATGAAAGAAGAAAAGAAAAAGAAAAAAGTGATGGGGAGATATGGGAAGTGTTGGAAGGGAGGGAGTGGGCATGGATTTTATCAAAACACCTTATATGCATGTATGAAATTCTCAATAAAGTTTTTTTAAAAGTTAAAAAAAAAAAAAGTCAGACATGGTGGTGCATGCTTGTAATTCCAACATTGGCAAGGCAGAGAAAGGGTGGCTCTCAGGCTCACTGGCCAGCCAGCCTAGCCTTCTTGATGAGTTCCAGACCAGTGATAGACCCCGTCTTTAAAAAAAAAAAGGTGGACATCACCTGAGGTACAACATCCAAGGTAGTCCCTCTGGCCTCCACATGCATATGCAAACTATAAATATTTATATATATAAAAGCTAGGTTCCACATATGAGGGAAAAATCGTATTTTTCCGAGTCTGGCTTGTTTTGCTTAATATTATGATCTCCAGGTCCATTCATTTTCCTACACATGACCTAATTTTGTTCTTTATGACTGTGTATATATCACATTTTCTTTATCTGCTGATGAACATCTCAGCTTATTTCACAGTAAGTATGGATACAGGTATCTCTGTAGTATACTGACCGGTTCCTCTGGAAATTTGAGGGTTTTTTTTTTTTTTTTTTTTTTTTTTTTACTTTCAAAGATTTGTTTTTTCTTAGTTTTTACTTTATGTGTATGAGTATTTGCTTACATTTATGTATGTACACCACATGATGCCTGGTACCCAAGGAGGCCAAAGGAGGGCATCAGAACCCCTGGAACTGGAGATATAGACTGAGCTACCATATGGGTGCTAGACGCTGAACTCAGGCCCTCTGCCAGTATTCTTAACCTCTGAGGTATCTGTCTAGCCCCACTTTTCTATTCTTAAGAGATAGTTCCTAGTTCTCTACAGTATTAAATTCTGTCATTATTGATAAGTAAAATAAACATCTTACAGTTGGCTACACAAGGACCTGTATCTCACATACTCTTCAGAAGTGTAACATTTAGTAGAGAATGCTGAGGCTGTTATTTTTAAAGCTTGTAGTTATTTGTTTGCGTTATACCTCAGGACTAGAAATATTGGCTAGGGTGAGGATACCTGGCACAAACTGCATTTCCTTCTTAGTGTTTTACAGCCAGATGTTGTGAAATTCTTTTTGTTTTGTTTTGTCTCTAGTGCCTGGAAACCTTGGCTGCTACAAGGATCATGGAAACCCACCTCCTCTAACTGGAACCAGTAAAACGTCCAACAAACTCACTATACAAACCTGCATCAGTTTTTGTCGGAGTCAGAGGTTCAAGGTAACAACTCTGTGGCCATGTAATTGTAGGAAAAGATAATGAGAGCTGGGAGTGGTGGTACATGCCTGTAGTCCCAGTGCTTGGGAGGCAGAAGCAAGGGCAAGCAGATCTCTGTGAATTCAGGGCCAGCCTGGGCTACATAGCAAGTTCCAGGTCAGCTGGGGCTACAGGGAGACCCTGTCTCAAAAAGACAAAAAAAAAAAAAAAAAGAAAAAGATATGTATAAATTAAAACAACCCCCCCCCACCCCAAATCTGTCAATTCCTACAGCTCTATTTTCTCTGCCAGGGGAAAAAAAAAGAGGAAGAATGGGCTCAGGAGTAAACTCAGCACTGATGTTTAAAGACTGAGGAAAGTGGGGAGGCAATCCCCAGTAGCTGCATTCCTCTTTGGCCTCTGACAAGTCATGAGCATGTGTAGTATGAGCAGGGATGTCACTGACTTCATAGAGAATCAAGCCCAAGGTAGCACTTTCCCTCCTTGATAGATTGTGAGGCCTTGCCTGTTTACTAGTCTAAATGTTTTCTTTCTATTCTTTCCTTTATCTGAAATTCATTCCCCAATCATTAAGGTTCAATAATGCTATTGTTTGTTTATCAGAAAGAGAGACAAAGATTCTTTCCTCCCTCCCTCTCTTGCTTCTCTCTCTCTTAATAATTCAGTCTAAAAGTCATTAAGCAAGAAGAGTACCATGCCTGGATTCAGGGCCCATGTGAGGCACATGAAAAAGCAATGCAGTTGGACCTCTGTGATCAAGTGGGCTTTTGCAGAACTTGAGCATCTAATGAGTATATTGAAGACTAATATATTCTGACTGCTAGAGAATGGAGGCCCAAATGTAGAAGCTGGAAAAACTGAAATGAAGCCTGTAGTGTTAGATAGGAATCAGAGTAGTATAAGTTCATGGCTTTTGATTATAGAATGGTAGACACTGATATCAATATAAATGTGCCTCTCGCCTTCAGCTGATCATCACTTCAGTGATGTGTCTGCCAGAAATGTACAGTTTTAAATCTAATCATGAGAAAACTCTAAACAAACACAAATCCAAAGCAAAAGACATTCTACAAAACTGCTGGCCTTCATTAAGTTCAGGAGGAATGACAAGAGAGCTGGCTATTCCAGCTTAAAGGAGAATGTAGAGTCCCAACAGCTAATCTGCAATCTTGGACTGAATCCTTTCCCTGCAAAGGACAAGACCTAGCCAGGTGCTACTTTGAATGGAATCTCTAGGTGAAGGTGATAAAGCAGTGATCCATATGGGCCTTATAGCTTTTTTGTAGGTTTGATTTCAAAATAAAAATGTAGCAAATGTATTTGGGGAGAGCGTGATACCAAGTAATGATTAAAATCTCTCAGCAATTAGGAAGGGAACTTCTTCAACTAAGAATATTTTTGTTTGCTTTTTGGTTGTTTGGATTTTTTAAATATTCTATTTATCATTTTTATTTTATGTGTATGAGTGTATTGCCTACAGGTATGTGAGTGCACCCATGTCATACAATACTGCAGAGGTGAGAAGAGGGTGTTGGATTTCTCTGGAACTGGAGTTAAGGATTGTTCGTAGCCGCCATGTGGGTGCTGGGAATTGAACCTGGGTCCTCTGCAAGAGCAGTCAGTGCTCTTAACTGCTGAGCCATCTCTCCAGCCCCTGTTTTGTTTTTGTTTTTTTGTTTTTTTTTAAGACAGGATCTCATATAGCCTAGGCAGACCTTGAAGTCCTGATTTTCTTGCCTCTATCTCCCAAGTGTTGGGATTACAGGCTCTGCTTAAGATTTAGGGGCTAGAGAGATGGCTCAAAAGTTAAGAGCACTGGCTGCTCTTGCAGAGGACCCAGGTTCAGTTCCCAGCACCCACATAGTGGCTAACAGCCATCCGTAATTCCAGTTCCAGGGGATCCATTGCACTTTTCTGGCCTCTTTCTGGGCATTGTACAACATGATTGCACTTGTATACATGCAGGCAAAACACTCATACACTTAAATAAATCAAAAAAATTAAAAAATAAAATTTTTTAAATCCAGAAATAAACCCATACATTGATGGTTGATTGATTTTTTTTTCAACAGAGTTGCCAAAATCATTAGATTGGGAAAGAGTAGTCTTTTCAGCAACTGGTACTAAAGCAACTGGATAACTGCAAATACAGAGTTTGAGCACCATGTGGATTGCTTTTCTCATTGCTATAAGAAAATATCTGACAAAAGAAGCTTAAAGAGGAAGGGTTTATTTGGGCTCAGAGTTTGAGGTTACAGCCCATCATGGCAGGAAAGGCATGGTCAGGCATGAGGCATATTTTGTCTACAATCAGGAAGCAAAGAGATGAAGTGCTAGTGCTCAGCTCATTTTTTCTTTTCTATTAAATCTGGGACCTCGGCCCATGGGATGGTGCTGCCTATAGTCAGGGTGGATATAACAAAGACATGCCCAGAGGTTTGTCTCCTAGGTGATTGTCTGCCGATCAAGCTGACAGTCAAGATTAACCGTCATAGACTCCCTTATAAGAGCTGAGCCTAGGGATAAATGTGCTGGACCTTGAACTTAAGCAGTGGTTTCCTATGTACAGTACCAAAAGAATAAGTAACCAAGGAAATAAACAAGACTTCTTCAAAATTAAAAACTTGTCTATCAAAGATTCTAGTGAGTAGACAAGCCATAGATGAGAGATGGTACTTGAAGCTCATACATCTATTAAGGGTCTGGTGCCCCGATACAATTCAAAGGTAAAATGACCGACAGTCTGGTTTTTTTAAGTGGGAGAAGGATCTGTACAGATATTTCTTTATGGAAGCTGGGTGACCAGTACATACATGGAAAGATGTTCAGTGTCATTAGTATTTAGGAAAGTACAAATCAAAAGCAAACTACAACTTCATAGCTGTAGTTAACAATAACAACAAAAAAAGGACAGTAACACAAGTTAGTGAGTCTGTAGAGAGATAGGAATCTTCCAGCACTGCTGATAGAAATGTAAAATGGTGCCACTTCTCTGGAAAGCAGTCTAGCAGTTCAAAGAATTCAATGTAGGATTCCTTATAACCCAGGAATTCTACTCCTAGGCATATCCTCAAGAGCTGAAGACAGATGTTCACACACAAAAATTTACATAAATGTTGATAGCAGCATTATTTATAATAGCTAAAACCTGGCAACATCCCAAATATCCATCTGCTGTTGAATGAATAAAGAAAATGTGGAAGGTGCTGGAGAGATGGCTCAGTACTTAAGAGCATTGCCTGTTCTTGCGGAAGACCTAGGTTCAATTCCCAGCACCCACGTGATGGCTAACGGCCATCTGTAACTCTAGTTCCAGGGGATCCAATGCCCTCTTCTATCTACGGGCACTGCATGACACGGGTACACTTACACACATGCAGGCATAACGCTCATACACATAAAATAAAAATAAGTAAATAAATACATTTAAATAGAAAAAAGAAAATCATGGAATACTTTGGAACATATTCCTAAATAATGGTGTGGAATGGAAAATTAATTCAACCACAAAAAGTGAAATACTGGCCAGGCATGGTGGCACATGCCTTTAATCCCAGCACTTGGGAGGCAGAGGCAAACAGATCTCTGTGAATTCAAGGTCAGCCTGGTCTATATAGTTCCAGGCCAGCTGGAGCTACACAGAGACCCTGTCTCAAAAAGACCAAAAAAAAAAAAGTGAAATGCCCATGCATGCTACAGCATGGAAGAAGCTTGAAAGCATTCCATTAGATGCAGTAAGCCAGGTACAAGAGGCCAGGTACTGTGTGCTTCCATTTCTGTGAATTGTCCAAAACAGGTGATCTGTAAAGACAGAAAGTAAGTTAGTAGCCACCAGCGGTGGGAGATGGGAAGAAGCAGGACTAACTGAAATCACCACATGGATTCTTTTCCAAGTAGACAGTGATCTGGAATCACATGGTAGTTGAATGGCGTAGTGAATCTACCAATAACCACTAAAATGTACACTTAAAATAGTAAATTTTCTGTTATGTGAATTGTATTTCAATTTTTTGTTTCTGTGTGTGTGTGTGTGTGTGTGTGAGTGTATTGTCTGCATGTATGTAAGTGCACCTGTGTCATGCAATGCCAATGGAGGTCAGAAGAAGGAATCAGATTCCCTTGGAACTAGAGTTATGGATGGTTCTTAGTCACTGTATAGGTGCTGGGAATCGAACCAAGAGCAGCCAGTGCTCTTAACCACTGAGCCATCGCTCCAGCCCCTATATTTCAGTTTTTAAAAGGGCTAGGAATTAGCCCAGTGGTAGAACACTTGTCTAGCATGTGCAAGGCCCTGATTTCCATCCTCGGTACCGGGGGAAAGAAGCACTTGGGAACTAAGGATGGGGCTCAGACAGTAAAGTGGTGAGGACCTGTGTTCAACCCCCAGGTTAAAAAAAAAATGGACATGGTGGCACATGCTTGTAATCATAGCACTGGGGAAGCAGAGACAATGGCTCTCTAGAGCTCACTGGCCAGTCATCCTGACCTACATGGCAAGTTCTAGGCCAGTGAGAGACCCTCTCTGAGAAAAAAAGGCAGACAGTGCCTGAGGTTGTCCTCTGGCCTTCACATGCACACACACACATAACATGCATCTACACGTAGTACACACAATATGTACCCACCCTCCACATGCACCCCCACTCACACATGCACCCCCACACTCATAAGCATACATAAATACTTGGGAGGTGGTAGCAGAGCCAAGCCAGTTGGCTACCAAAATGAGTTGGAAACCATCCTGGGCTACATTAGACCCTCTCTCAAAAAGAAAAAAAAAAAAAAGAGCAAAGTATTTGAATAAGCATTTCAACAAAAAAGACCCATGAATGGGTCTGGATGTGGCATAATCTCAGCACATGGGCAGTGGAGGCAGGAGGATCAGGAGTTCAAGGCCAGCTCCAGCGACATAGCAAGTTTGAAACTAGCCTGGACTTATATGAGCTTCTGTCTCAAAAACAAAAACAGGACTAGGCATGGTGGCGCATGCCTCTAAACCCAGCACTCAGGAGGCAGAGGCAAGCAGATCTCTGTGAGACCAACCTCGTCTACATATTAAGTTCTAGGCCAGCTGAGGCTACAGGGAGACCCTGTCTCAACAAAACAAAACAAAAGAAGCTATATGAATGATCAACAGTACATGAAAAGATGCTCAGCATCCCTAGTTATAAGTGAGACTATAAAGATATTAAGAATTCAGGACCTGGGGCTGGAGAGATGGCTCAGTGGTTAAGAGCACTGACTGCTCTTGCAGAGGACCTGGGTTCGATTCCCAGCACCCACATGGTGGCTACGAAAAGTCCTTAACTCCAGTTCCAAGGGAATCCAAAGCCCTCTTCTGACCTCCGTGGCATTGCACGACACAGGTGCACTCACATACATGCAGGCAATACATTCATACACATAAAAATAATAAAATATTTTTTTAAAAAAGAATTCAGGAACTGGAGAGATGGCTCAGCAATTAAGAATACTAGCTGCTCTTGCAGAGGACCTGGGTTCAGTTCTTAACACCCACATGGCAGCTAACAATTGTCCTAACTCCAGTTCCAGGGGATTCAACACCCTCTTCTAACCTTCATGGGCACTGCATGACAGGTGTACTTACACACTTGCAGGCAATAGACTCACACACATAAAATAAAAATAGTAATAAAGCCGGGCATGGTGGCGCACACCTTTAATCCCAGCACTTGAGAGGCAGAGGCAGGCAGATCTCTGTGAGTTCAAGGCCAGCCTGGTCTACATAGTGAGTTCCAGGACAGCTGGGGCCACAGGGAGACCCTGACTCAAAAAGACCAAAATAATAACAATAATAATAATAATAATAATAATAAAGAAGCCATAGAGTATAGAACTCATAAGTTACTGCTAGAAGTATGGAATGGAAAAAGATCTTGAAGTTTCATATAAAGTTAAGAATTCACTTACCTTACATCCTAGCAATACCCCACCTGGATATTTACTTCAAATAAATGAAACTGTCATCACACATAAACTTATAAACAAATATTTACAATAGCCCCAAACTGTAAATAACCTAAATGTCTGCTAATTGATAGATAAACAAAACATGATACTGTGTGTATCTGTGGAATACTACTCAGCAATAAAAAAGAAAGACACATTGGTACATGCTATTTCACACAGTTACATGGATGAATCGATCTCCTACCAATCATGCTAATTGAGAGAATTTAAACACAAAACACTGTATACTAAATTCAAATGGATCCCAGATTAAAATGTAAAACTATGAAACAATAGAAATCTCTTCTTAACCTGCTTTCTACTAAAAAGTTCTTTTTTAAAATATTTTATTTATTATTTTTATTTTATGTGTATAAGTGTATTGCCTGCATGTGTGTGAATGCACCGTGTCCTGCAATGCCCCGGAGGTCAGAAGAGGGCTTCGGATTACCCTGGAACTGGAGTTAAGGATGTCTTTAACATGATACTTTTGTTCTGTAGAGGCATTTTGAAGAGAAAGAAAAGCTACAGCCTGGGGAAAATTTTTGCAAATCACTTATATCCAAAATATGTAAAAGTCGCTGAGCTAGGTGCCACATACCTTCAATCACAGCACCCAGGAGGCAGAGGCAGGTGGATTTTTTTTTATGTAGACCAGGCTGGCCTTGAGCTCACAGAGATCCGCCTGCCTCTGCCTCCCAAGTGCTGGGACTACAGGCGTGCGCCACCATGCCCGGCAGCAGGTGGATTTTTGTGGGTTCAGGGCCAAACTGGTCTAAATAGTATGTTCTAGGCCAGCCAGGGTACCAAGTGAGACCCTGTCTAGATTAATCAATTAACCAATTAACTAATTAAAAACTAAAAATCAAGAAGCTGTAAAATGTCAAAGGTAAAAAGTCAAACAGCATGAATTTAGAATAGGCAAAAGAACTGAACAGACACTTCACCAAGGAGAATACACAGATGGCAAATAAGCATATGAAATTACATACATTATTAGTCATTAAATTAATACAAATTAAAGCTACCATGAGACACTACCACATACCTATTGGAATGGCTCAAGTGAAATAACACTTGCAATAACAAGTGCTGATGAGAATATGGAGCAATTGAAACTCTCTACATTGCTGCTAGTGTGAAATGGCTGTCATCCTGGGAAAGTTTGGTTGTTACTTATAAAATTAAACCCAACAATCCTCCTAGTTATTACTCAGTACAAATAAAGACTTACATTCACACAAGAATCTGCACAAAAATGCCTATAGCAGTTCTATTCGTAGTCATGAAAACCTGGAAATAGATGAACAAATTGTGGCATGTCCATAGTTTAAGGGACTCTGGTTGGTAAAACAAAGGAGTGAGCTGTTCTTACATGCTCCAGTTTGTATGAACTTCAAAGACATGCTGAGTGGGGAAAAAAAACACAAATATTTATTTTACATTCTCAGAAATACACAATGATAATAGTAAACAATGCCAGTGGTAGTTCCAGGGACAATTACAAGGGCTACAAAACAAGAGCAGCAAGGCCACTGGGGCCACACAGCTTCTGTGCTGACTATACTGGCGGTTGCACAAATCTCAGCAGGGGTTGACTCTTACAGGACTATGCACTAGATTAATAAAATGAAAATTCAAATGGGAACTATACTGAGTTTGTTGTGAATATTAGCTATAACACGACTTGTGGATGGAGAGATGGCTCAGTGGTTAAGGGCATGTGCTGTTCTTGCAGAAGACCTGAGTTCAGTTCCCAGCACCCATGTGAGGCAGCTCACAACCACCTGTAACTTTTAGTTACACAGTACATCTTACCTGGCACATAGTAACTACTTAATAAAATGTTTATCTGTTTCTATCAGTGTTTCACATTTAAGGTATTTTTCTCCTTAAAAATTTAGTTCAATACAGTGAAAATGCAGGCATTAGAAAGAAATTCTCCCTGACAGGGAGCACATTCCTGGGGCACAGCTACTGGCCAGCTCAGAATGGGCAGTGAGACTAGGGAGAGGTCACAGATGGACTGGGATATTGAGGTTGACTTCTGGGGGTGGAAGGAAGGGGGCAGCCAGCCCCCTTTGGGCCAACTAACTCCCTAAAAACATTCCCAATGTGCATTTTTCTGTTGGCAGTTTGCTGGGATGGAGTCAGGCTATGCATGCTTCTGTGGGAACAATCCTGACTATTGGAAGCATGGGGAGGCAGCTAGCACGGAGTGCAACAGCGTCTGCTTTGGGGACCACACCCAACCCTGTGGTGGGGATGGCCGGATCATCCTCTTTGACAGTGAGTATGCTGGGTGCCAAAGGCAGGATGGGGACAGCAAGCTCACCCACCTACATTTCCACTCTTTCAGTGCTCTGTCAGCAAGTCACAAAATACCTGTCATAGAACAGGTAGGCTCAGCCCTGCCCTCTGGAAGAGACAACAGTATTTAACAAGTGATAAGCCATGCTATAGTCAAACCCAGTGTTCTGAAGCTTTGGCCTATCATGAGCTACTCTGACAACCTAGAAAAGTTAAAGTTTAGCATTGACACTGCTGTACCTGTATGAATCAACTTTAGTATGCTCTTGTTTTAATAGTTTCCAGCCCTGTTTCATTTGTTTGTAGGCACTGGGGATTTATACTTCACTGTGATGCATCTGAGAAGATGATCTTGCAACTTCAAGTTGTTTTTCCAGCCCTGGCATTGCATTTTCCCTGAGCCATGACCTCACTGTCTGCTACATTTGTGAGGTGCCAGCGAGAAAGGAGGCTGTTCTGAGTGGGTTGTGGATCCTGAACCTTGACCTCTCCAACACTGTGCTTTCTCATCCCTGAGGACCCGGTCCCTTGTCATAATCCCACATATACACACTCAGTGGCAGTGAGAGTTTATGAGATTTGCAGCACCTGATTTTAGCATTCTAGAAAGGAAGGTCACAGATGAGAAGGCAGATGAAAGGGCTTGAGCTTCCTGAGAAATGTAATCGCATCTGCAATGTGTTTGTGGCCTTAGGGAGGTACACAGCTCACTAGGCAGGGAGCTCCATTTTGAGCATGATTTGTTTCCTAGGGCTGCTGAAACAGTATTACAACTAGCATGGCTTAAAAACAACAGGAATTTATTCTCTCACAATTGTAGAGAATAGAAGTTCAAAATCAAGGTGTCAGCTGGTTTCTGTTTCCTCCCAAGCATCCAGGACTGTAACTAAAAATTTGTAAAAGAAACAGCTTAAGGAAGGGAAGGTTTATTTGGGGTCATGGTTTCAGCCCATCAGGGTAAGGAAGGATTGAGTGGCTCAGTTCAGTTTGTGGTGGCAGGACCATGTGGTAGAAACCGTTTACATGATAGCTGACCAGGAAGCAGAGAAGGTGCCCAACTAACAGCTGGGCTGTGACCTTCAAAGGCTTGCCCCTAGTGACATACTTCTTCCAACTAGGCCCATTCCATAGCCTCCCAAAATAGCTTCACAAGGTATTGAACAAGCAAAGATCAGGAGCCTGTCAGAGACATTTCAGATCCAAACCATAATATTCTATCCCAGACCCCCCAAAGTCATGGTCATCTCATAACACAAAATGTATTTAGTTGAACTTCAAGAGTCCCCCATAGTCTTAACATTCCCAATTCTGTTCAACTGTCTAAAGTCTCTTCTGAGACTCAGGCAAACTTTGGAACCCCTATGACATCAAAAAGAAAGTTAGGTACTTTCTATATTCAGTGTCACAGAGTAAACCTTCCCATTTCCAACAGGGAAAACAGGAAAATAGCAAGGAAAGATTGCACCAAAGCAAGTTTAAATCCAAGCAGGGTGAATATTAAATCCTAATGCTCCATTTCTGACATCAGGTTCAAATCATGATATTGACTCTGACAGGCTTGGACACCCTTGCCCATGTGGCTCTGCCACTTGTAGTGTGCATGCCCTGTCTCTTGGGCTGGCTTCACTCATTACCTGCATCTTTTCTTAACGGACATCCCATGCTCCTGGCATGTCCAAAATCTCCATTGAAACTTTAAACTTTACCTTCAAGGCTTTACACATAATCCACTTGGGCTTCTCACAGGAAACCAACACTGCTGCATATTGCCTTGCCTCCCAGAACTTCCTTAAAAATGTTGATGCAGGCCTGGGGAGATGGCTCAGTTGGCAAGCACAAAGACCTGAATTTGATCCCCAGAATCCACATAAAACAGCTGAAAATGGTGACACATGCCTATATTCTCAGCACTGAGGAAGCAAAGACAGGCAGATCCTTGGAGCTCATGGGCCAGCCTATCCCTACTTGGCAAGCTCCAGGCCAGAAGAGACCCTGTCTCAAGAAACAAGACAGCTCCTGAGGGACAATACCCGAGGTGTCCTCTGGCTTCCACACACATGCACACACATGAATACCTGCATATACAACACACAGAAACATCAGCCAAACCACTCTTTGCTCTCGCATTCTGCATGTCTGCAAAACCAGTACCACAGTTCAATCCCAAGTTCTGTTGATAGTCAGGCCTTGGACCTTGGAACATGGTTGCAGCTGTCTCTGAGTGCCAAGCCATGCAACCCCAGAAAAATACTTCTCTAGGCAGCCTTTTTCCAGCAGGGCACCCCAGCTCCCATCTGAACCTCTTGTGAAGTGAAAGTCTTCTAAATGAATTTTCAGTCTTATATCTGGAACTTTCAGTCAGTGACATCTTACTATTTCCTTCCTGAAATGCCATCAAAGCATCTTTCTACAATGCCTGCTTCCTTCAATTTGCTTTGTCTGCACTTTTAAACATGCTTTATCTCTGACCAAATAGTAAATTTTTCATTTTTTTCTACTCTTTTTTTCTCCTGTCTCATGATAAACTTGGCTGAAAGAAGCCAGCAATAGCCTTGCCATAACCCGAATGCTATGCTGTCTTAAAATTTTCCTTTGCCAAGTTAATTTCCACTCCTTTTGAATTTAGTCTCACTCAGATCTTTAGGGCACAGCAGAACATAGACTCAATTCAGATGTGTCCTTGTTTCCATCTGAAGCTTCATGAGCACAGTCCACTGTCTATTTCTGTTGATATTCTTCTCTTCTCAGCTCCCACTAGAATTGCCTATTAAGTAGAACCAGCATCATTCCAAGACTTCTAGCCTACATCTCCAAACTCTTACACATTCCTGCAAACCAGTTCCAAAGGCCTAAGAACCATATAACCAGGTTTAGTTAATAGCAATGACCCCACTTCTCTGGTAACAGTTTTCTTTGTTAATTACTTTTGCATCACTGTAACCAAAATATCTGACAGACATATCTTACAGGAGGAAATGTTTATTTTGGTTCATAGTTTCAGAGGGATTTTTGTCTATCATTACAAGAAAGGATAGTGGACCAGCCCAGTCTATGGTGGCAGGACCATATGGTATGGTAGAGACTGTTCACATGGTGGTAGGCCAAGAAACAAAAAGGGTACCAGAACCAGGGATTGGGCAACATATTGCCTTCAGATGCCCACCACTAGAGACATGCTAGGCCCACACCCTAAAGGTCCTACAACCTCCCCAAATAGCACTATCATCAAAGAACAAATGATCAGAACATGAGCCTGTGGAGAATATTTCAGATTCAAACCATAATCAACCTTTTTTTTTCATTTATTTTTATTTTATGTGTTTGAGTGTCTTGCCTGCATGTGTGAGTATACCACATGCATGCAATGCCCATGGAGGCCAGAAGAGGGCATTGGATTCCCTGAAACTGGAGTTACAGATGGTTGTTAGCCACCATGTGGGTACTGGAAACTGAACATGGGTCCTCTACAAGAGCAGCCAGTGCTCTTAACCACTGAACCATCATCTCTCCAGCCCCATAACCAACCCTCTTTGGCATCCATTGGCTTGTAGCTGCGTCACTCCATCTCTGTTTTCTTGACATGACTGTCTTCCCATTTTGTGTATCTGTTTCTGTGGGCCTTGTTATGAGCACATATATCACTGGACTTAAAGCTCTCTCTAACCTAGTATGACCTATTCTTGATTGTATGTATAAAGACCCCTAGGATTAGGACTTGAATCCATCCTTTGAGGGGACATAATTCAGTCACTGTGCACATAACTATCCATCCCAGCCCTAGGTCATAACTGCCCTTTTTATAGGTTCTAACTTAGAAATTGTCTGCAGTGTATGTATACTTGTGTGGGAGGAAGGAGAAGCTCAAGGCCTGCCCAGGCTACACAGTAGGATCCTGTCTCCAAAAAATAAACAACAACAAAAGAAACCTCAACAATTAAGTAAACTTCTTCAGTATATATTCAAACCTGGGTTTACCACATTTTTTATTTTTAGCAACTGAGATCTCTTTTATTAGCAATAATAATATTGATCATAATAACTGATCCAGTTTCATGCTTTAAAAGTCTGTGATCAAATGGTGCTCATTTACCCAAGTTATCTTCAAGTTGGCCCTTCACAGCCCTGCAGAGGCTATCTTTTCTGCTTATGTCCACCCAAATACTGAGCAGGGTGTCGATCTCAGCACTGCCCACTCCATTCAGATAGTGGTAAGTCAGGAAGCAGAAGAGGGTACCAGAACCAGGGATGGGGCCTGAACCATGTGTGTGATCTGGCAGGAGCCTGTGACCAGGGTCATCTCTATAACTCACCTCACTGAATCTCAGAGAAAAGTGTAAGACACAGTAACATAGAAATGAATTCTAAAGTTTGATCTGCTGCAGAGTAAAATAGTTTAAATAACTCGAGTACATCCTCAGGATCCTGTGAATAAGGCTGAACACTTTGGAGGTGTTGGCTGTGGACTGGCCCATGATTTGGGATGATGGAGATATCTTCAAGTGGCTAGAGAGGGAAGGAGGTAGTGGGAAAGGGCTAGGTCACAGTTTCTGTCTTCCAGAATATCAGACCCTTCTTTTGGTTTTCAGTATTTGACAGTGGCGGTCTAGGTATATTTTCTTTGTGTCTGTTTGCTCTTGAGTTTGCTGAGATTCGTAGCTCTGTGGTATCCCCTTACGTTGACTTTGGAATGTTCTTACCTCTTTGAATAATTCTTCTGCCCATTTTCCTTTTTCATTTCTTTATGAGACTAATTAAACACACTAAGTCATTTGATACTTGTCCATTGCTGTTAGATGCTGTTCTTTTTTTTTAATATTTTATTTATTATTTTTATGTGTATGTGTGTATTGCCTGCATGTAGATAAGTACGCCCATGTCGAGCAGTGTCCTCGGAGGACAGAAGAGACTGTCAGATCCCCTAGAACAGGAGTTACGGACAGTTGTTAGCTGCCATGTGGATGCTGGGATTCAAACCCAGGTCTTCTGCAAGAACAACCAGTGTTCTTAACTGCTGAGCCATCTCTCCAGCCCGTTTTTTTGTTTTTGTTTTTGTTTTTTTTTTCCTCTTTGTTTCATTTTGGATAAGTTTTATTGATCTGTCTTCAAGTTTATTGATTCCTTCTCAGCTGTGCTTAGTCTGCTGATAAGTCAACCAAAGGAATGCTTCATCAACAGTGTTTGTTTTATTTCTAGCATTTATATTTGTCTCTTGTTTGTTTTTTAAGAGTTTATTGTTATTACAATGTAATACTCCCTAGTGTAGAACTCATTATGTAGACCTGGCTGGCCTCAAACTCAAAAGAGATCTGAGCCGGGTGTGGTGGCACATGCCTTTGATCCCAGCACTCGGGAGGCAGAGGCAGGTGAATCTCTGTGAGTTCACGGCCAGCCTGATTTACATAGTATGTTCCAGGCCAGCTGGGGCTACAGGGAGACCCTGTCTCAAAAATACCAATAAATAAATAAATAAAATTCAGTAGAGCTCTACTTGCCTCTACCTCCCAAGTGCTGGGGTTAAAGGCATGTAGCACCACACTCAGCTGCTCTGTCTCTTGACAATGAGTATCCCCCCACCACCCCCATTTTTTCTTGATTTTGTGTGTGTGCTATGGTATTCTATTTAATGCCGTACACCATGGGGAGAATGGTCGACACTGAAGAAAATAGCATTTATGCCTGGGTAGCCTACTTAGTTTAGGGACTGGTCCAGGCTGTCAGTAGCTGAGTTTGGACTGGTTTTCTGTCATTGCCCTCAGTGCACTTCAGACTTCAGATCCCTCCAGCTTGTGCTTAGTGTAGAGCAGAGGGTACCAATGGGTATCCTTAGGGTTCCTGTTACACGCTCAGCTTTGAGCAAGTCACAGGGGGACTGCTGTTCCCTTCTTGATCTGCCCTTGTGGGAGATGGTCATTACCCATTACCTGGTGCTGTTTGTGGGGAGCTAAGGGTTCTGGTTCTCCTGCTCTGCTTCAGCTTAGGACATGCCTCTAGGCTACAGGAGTGAGACTTTTTCAGCGGTCCTCTACCACCATCTCTTCTTCTCCCTGGCAGCCACACACCACCTTGGTTTTGGTGGAACTTGGAAGAGAGAATTTCTTGTCCTTTTTCAGGAGGCCTTAAGGCAAGCAGGGACTGATGTCTTTTGGTTTAACTTTTCTCCAGAGGCAGTGGATCTTTACCTCATTACTGGGTAGAAAGGAGTCTCCTATTTCTTCCCTAGACACAAACATGTTTTGCATCTGCCTCTCTCCAGTGACCCTGGGAGCAATGGGTTAATTGCCTTCCTTTGAGAGAAAGGCTCAGGAAGTGGGTAGTGCTTCAGGCTTGTCCCTCAGCTGTAGCCTGTCCCTCCTGCACACCTGTGCCACCAAGGGAAGCTCTGGCCAGCTGCCTGACATTAGTCACTCCTGCCAGCACTCAGAGGCCTGTGCTGAAAAGCTTACAAGTGAATGCAAACACCATAGTGTTTGGAGCTCTTACTATCCTCAGTGGAGAAGCAAGGCTGACATCTTGCTAAAATCTTAGCTGCTTTGTGGAAGTCATTCTTCCTCCTATGCTCTGGCACAGATAAACCCACTTTTGTGTCCTGATTCTCCTTGGAGGAGCTTCTTTTTTTAGCATTAAATTCCTTCATTGTCTTGAGACTTCAGCTTCGGGGTTTTGAGCATTCCATTATTATGATGAGAAAGCAGCTTTTGTTTGTTTGTTTGTTTGTTTGTTTGTTTGTTTTTCCAAGGCTAGAGATCACTGCTAGTCAAAGTCTCTATCACTGAGCTATCCCCAGCCTTTGGCTTTTTGAGACAGGGTCTTGAACTCACCATCTTCATCAGTGCTAGGATTGTAGGCCTGTACCACCAGGCCCAGCAAAGCAGCATACAAATGTATTGCTTTCTGTGTCCTAAAATGAAAGCAGAACTTCCCTAAAGCCTGCTGAGATGTAGCTCAGCAGAAGGTTCTGCACAGGCCCTGGGTTTCATCCCATCACTGAAAATCAAAAACAAAGCAAAATAACAAAACAAAAAAACCCAAATACTTTTTAAAAACTCAGCCCTACACTCCCTGAAGCCTTTCATTTCCCCAAGATCTTGTTTACACTAAACTGTACAAGACAGGAAGTGGTTGTGGCCCCGTCTTAAAGCCTGCCAATCAAAAACAGGCATCCAGAGAAACCAAATATGACTGATAGAGAATAATGAGAATCTGCTATTTACCCTGTGCAGAAAGACTTTTCTTTCCTTTGATTTCCCTCCTTGGGTGGTATTGGGGATCAGATCCATGGTCTCATGCATGCTACTCAAGTGTTCTACCACTGAGCAGCACTCCCAGTCCAGAAAATTCTTTCTTGTGCCACTTGAAAAATGAATGTGGCTCTCTCATGTGAGCACTGCACCTCTAAGATGCTGGGGATTCTGAGATACAAAACCCTTTTCCTTTATGACTTAACCTCTTCAGAGGCCTCCCCTGTGCTGAGAGGTCCCCATTTCTTACACTTTATCTCATCTGCCTTCTCATTGTCATGGGATACAGGAGCAGGTGGTGGCCCCACATGGGAAACAGAAGTGAGAGGCCTGGGAATGAGGTACAGCTCCAAGGATCACATGGCCCTGCTGGTCCTGAACCCAGACTCTCTGACTCCAGCTAGACCCCGAATGAGGCTGCACTACTGTTCTGAGTAGTAACTCGTAAGGTCTCTTGGGGAAAACCAGAGTCTGCCGTCATTTGTTCTGGGTTTAAGTGATTCATCTGGTGATTTGATCCTAAAACCTAAGATGGTCTGGTTTTGTAACTGAAAACAATATCTCAAACAGGATCACATTTCTTATGAAGAGTTTTGTTTACATCAGCACTAGGGAAGGAGCCCTGTGACTGAGACTCAGGCCTGCTGTCTTCTCTCTTCTGCAGCTCTCGTGGGTGCCTGCGGTGGGAACTACTCAGCCATGACATCTGTGGTCTATTCCCCTGACTTTCCTGACACCTATGCCACTGGGCGGGTCTGCTACTGGACAATTCGGGTTCCAGGAGCCTCTCACATCCATTTCAACTTCACCTTATTTGATATCAGGGATTCTGCAGACATGGTGGAGCTGCTGGACGGCTACACCCACCAGGTCCTGGTCCGTTTCAATGGAAGGAACCACCCACCCTTGTCCTTTAATGTCTCTCTGGATTTTGTCATTTTGTATTTCTTCTCTGATCGCATCAATCAGGCCCAGGGATTTGCTGTCTTATACCAAGGTAAGATATTCTTGTCTCTGAGGGCTTACGAGTGTCTTTCCCATTAGGGTGACTTACAAACCTAGGGTAGTTCTTTTTTTTTTTTCTTTATTTTTTTAGTTTTATTGAGACAGTCTCCCTGTAACCCCAGCTAGCCTGGAACTCACTATGTAGACCAGGCTGGCCTTGATCTCACAGAGATCCGCCTGCCTCTGCTTCCTTGGTGCTGGAGCTAAAGGCCATGTGCCACCACACCTGGCTGTAGGGTAGTTCTTGTTGGGCAGACTCAGACAGGAGCTGCTGACTCAACTGCAGATTATCTAAACACTAACTCATTCTTCACCTCCCATTGCTTAATTTGTTTCAATTTTTCTATTTTAATAGTTTTATTTAATGTATTTATTTTCGATTTTTATTTATGTGCATGTATGTGTATGCCTTGTGTGGGGGTACTGCAGAGGCCAGAAGAGGGCATCAGAACCCCTGGAGCTAGAGTTACAGGCATTTGTGAGCTGCTCAGCATGGGTGCTGGAAACTGAACTCAGGTCCTTTGGAAGAGCAGGAGGTACTCTTAACCAGTGAGCCATTTCTCTAGCCCTATTTTAGTAGTTTTAATGTAAGTTTTGTGGAAAGGCTAAAAGAATAGCAAAAAAAGAAAGAGATGAGATCAGCAGAATTGGAAGACTCCTAGGTGGTCTTTTGGTCTGTCCTCCTCCTGCTAACTGTCCCAGGCAGTCTCAGAGACTGATTTACCATTTTTCCTTAGGGCCATACACTCTGCCCTTCTGACATGAACATGTGAGTACCAGACATGGTCCTTTGATAACCCTTAAGGAATCACAGGTATTGGATTCCACACCTCAAAAGAAAAGTTCAGATAGCGTGTGCTGTAGGAGGTAGGACAGACTAAAGGAGCAGGTAGAGTTGGGGTCTATCATAGCAAGGAAGAAAGTCTTTTGAGCAAAAGGAAATAACTGTGAAGCACAGGGTAGAAAAATGCAAAAGCACATTCAAGGTGTCTGAGAGAAGGACAGTGACATAATTAGAATCAGCAATCTCTTTCTTCTGCCTCCTGCAAGGCCATACCTGACAGGTTCTGCTCTGGGGGCCCAGTGGAGGAAGTTGCAAATAGAATAGAATGAGAAAAGGCTTCATTAAGGAGGTGTGATAGCACACACCTCTAATACCAGCTCTTGGGAGGTAGAGAGGAGGATTGTAAGTTCAGGGTCATCCTTAGCTACATCCTTGAAGCCAGCCTGGGCTACACGAGACCCAGTCTCAGAAAAATTGGGGTCAGGAGTCTGGGGAGATTTGGCTCAGTGGTTAAGTATTTGTCGTACAACCATGAGGACCAGAGCTCAGATCCCCAGAATGCACATAAGTACCAAATGGGCATGGTGACCCACCTGTAATTCCAGCCTTGGATTCCTAGAGCAAATAGGCTAGTGAGAGTCACCACATGGGGAGCTTTGGGTTTGATTGAGAGACTCTTCCTCATTAAATAACATGGAAGCATGCTCGTAGATGATTTGCATCTTGGGTCTCTACATACATGTGCACCCACATTTGCCCACATACATGCAAAACATCTAATGTGCATGCACGTACGTGCATACAAGCAACAAAAAATGGAAAAAGAAATAGGAAAAAATTCAAAAGGCCTCAGGGATTCCCCCTTTCCACTGTGCTTCCTTGGCTTTCCCCAGTTAACCTCTTTTGATCTTCTAGCCATCAAGGAAGAGCCACCGCAAGAGAGGCCCACTGTCCACCAGACGCTGGAAGAGGTGATCACAGAGCAAGCCAACCTCAATGCCAGTGCTGCCCACTCCTCCAAAGTCCTCTATGTCATCACCACCAGCCCCAACCACCCGCCTCAGACTGTCCCAGGTAGCCATTCCTGGGCACCATCAGTTGGGGCCAGCGGCCACAGAGTGGAAGGTAGCTCTCTCAACACTTAAGAAACAAAGGTGCTTGTGGGTGCTTCTCATTCAGAGACAGGTTGGGATGCTGGCTCCATGACCTCTGGGCTGTAGTGGCATTTGAGGGAAATGTTCTCATCAGCTTAGTTCCCAAAGCCTTAGGGAAGAGTGCTGCCCTCCAAAGATCAATTCTCTAGGTGCCTTTTGTACACTCTGTTTAGCAGCTAATCTACTCTCTTCATCCATCTTTTTTTTTTTTTTGTCTTTTTGAGACAGGGTCTCCCTGTAGCCCCAGCTGTCCTGGAACTCACTATGTAGACCAGGCTGGCCTTGAACTCACAGAGATCTGCCTGCCTCTGCCTCCCGAGTGCTAGGATTAAAGGCGTGTACCACCACGCCCGGCTCATCAATCTTATTTTGAGAGCATCTTTCTAGAGCTCTAGGTTAAGGCTCCTCAAGTGTTCTGACATTTGCAAGTACTTCATTCATTCATTCACTCACTCATTCATTCAAAAGATATATGTAGGACTGAAGATTGGCTCAAGGACAGAGCATGCAGCTAAAGGAGGGGGCGACCAAAATATATGTAATTCTTTCAATGGTGTATGTCATGCACTGTTCTAAACACTGGACCATATGCAGAACTAAACAAATCCTGCCCTTCTTTTGTCTGGAAACATGTTCCAGGCCCTGAGTTGTAGGCAACATAAGATAGTGAACATTCCTTCTTTTCTGTAGGGTGAAATACACACAAAGATTGCTAGGACAATATTACACATACTTCTCATAGGTTACAAGTGGGAGGAAGAAAACTAGAAGCACAGTAAAAGGTCAAATAGCACTAGGAGCTATGACAAAAAGTCAAGCAAGAGGGAGTCAGTGAGCAATGATCTTTTGTGGTTAAGCTAACTTGATGGAATGTGTACATCCTTAATCCCTGCTTTTCTACTATGGATGAGGTCCCTAGATGAGCTGGTGCGCTGAAAAGAGCCATCATCTATAACTTGGCTTTGAGGTTTTCATACTACTCCCTTGTACTCTGTAGATCCCACTATAGAAGGTCAGGAAGGGAGAACTCTCCAGCTCTATATCATTTGGCTGTGAATTCCAGTAGGATTTCCTAAGTCACACAGTTCCTTGCTCAGATGAGAAAACTGGGGCCCAAAGACTTTAAGTAACTCAATGAGTTCTAATGGCAGAGACAGATACACTGCACCCTTTTTGACTCTGAGTCTGGTGCTCTTTGGCTCTTATCAGCGGGAGAACAAGGCAAGGCCATGGAAAAGTTCCATGCTTAGTCCAGCTGTCAGCTGCCTCTGCTGCCAGGTTTGCTGGATACTCCCTCCATGCATGGAGCCTCTGGGCCAGTCCTGTACCTCTGAGCTATCTCCTTTAGAAAATGAAGCACAAACAAGTCTGGTGAACTCTTTTGCACTTGCAGGATGGACCGTCTATGGCCTGGCAACCCTCCTCATCCTCACAATCACAGCTGTTATTGCAAAGATTCTTCTACATGTCACATTCAAGTGAGTACAAGAGAGCTACCTGGTTTGGGAAGGGGAACGTCAAATTTTTTTTCTCCTGGTCTTCATTTGTCCCTATACAGTTGTAACATCAGAACATGATTCCAGAGCCCTGAGTCTTAGGCAGCATAAGGCATTGAACATTCCTCCTCCTCTCTAAAGAGAAACAGACAACTGGACAAAGCTCACTGAGGTTCGAGGGATCATGTTTGCGTCCGTGTCCAAAGGACTCGATTTCAGGAAGGATTGAAACCACCCTGACATAGGAGACAATTGTCCGTTTTTTGGCTTGTACTAGTCCCTTACAGGGATTTTTTTATGCAAGAGTAAAGATTCCAAGGACAGGGGTTGGAGAGATGGCTCAGCAGTTAAGAGCACTGGCTGCTCTTGCAGAAGACCTGGGTTTGATTCCCAGCACCTGCATAGTGGCTAACAACCATCTGTAACTCCAGTTCCAGGGGATCTGATGCCCTCTTCTGACATCCACAGGCATTGCACACATATGGTACATTTACATACATGCAGGCAACACACTCATACACATAAAATAAACATAAATAAAAACTTTAAAAACTGATTCCTAGGACAATACCATACATTCTTCTTAATACCCTCTAGAAATTGAGAACATCTTGGGAAGAGAATTCCAACATTTTAACTAATTATTTTATTATTCTTATTAAGTTATTCTTTGATAGTTTCATACATGTATATAATACATTCTGGTCATACTCATCCCCCCACTCTCTCTTATCCATCTCTTACCCCCACCACCTCCCTCTCAAGTCCCCATTCCACTTTCATTCTTTCCAGTTTTTGTTTTTACTTTGTGACCAACCCACTGGACTTAACCAGGGCTTCCCACACAGGCCATGGGCATGGAACTGTCACTGGAGCATGGCTATCTCACCAGTGGCTATACCACTGGATACAACAACTTCCTTTTCCCCAGCAGCCCTCCACTGCCATTAGTTCCCCTTGGCAAGACTGGAGCCCATGAGCCCCTCCTTGATCTGTGACTGAGTATTTAGGAGCTCAGTCTTGTACAAACCCTATGCAGGCAGTCACAGCTACTATGAATTCATGAGTGCTAAGGCCATGCCATGCCCATGAAACAGCATCTCATAGCCCTTCTCCCCATCATCTGGTTCGTGCATTTTTTTCTGCTCTCTCTTCCACAATATTCCCTGACCCATAGAGGGGTGATATGGGTGTCCATTTAAGGCAGAACACTGCCTTCCAGGAAAGGGGCAGTCACTCTTGATGTTTGTGTACTTGAAGAACAGATTTCTCTTTTTTCCTCTAGACTCCCAATACTCTTTCCTCTGGCTCTCAGTCCAGGCCCACCCACTTAAAGCCTTTCTGAACACTGATGCCTAGGAAAAGTCCTATTTTCATGACTCATCTGTCCTCTGCCAAGGGCTTTTTAGACAAGAAATGTGGCTCCTCTGTTGTGTGAAAACCTCAATAACCATACCCATTTGCTCTTTGCACTTGAAAATTTTCAGTAGAACTCATGTCCTTACTATTGTCTACTGAGTTCACTACACACACGCACACACACACACACACACACACACACACACACACACACACAAGTCTTTGCCTTGATATCTGTGGAGAATTGGTTGCAGGACACCTTGTGGATGCCAAAATCCATGTATTCTCAAGTCCCTTATATAAAGTGATGTTGTATTTGAAGATGACATACATATCCTCCCATATACTATATACTTTAGTCTATCTGTAGATTATTCATAATAATTCACAATGTCGATGCTGTACAAATAGTTGTTACACTGGGTTGTCTAGTAAATAATGACAAGGAGAAAAGTCTGTACATGTTCAGCACAGAGAAAAAATTTTTTCAAATACTGTATTTATTATTTTTATTTTATGTGTATGAGTGTATTGCCTGCATGTATATGAGTGCGCCCGTGTCATGCAATGCTGTGGAGGTCAGAGGAGGGCTTCAGATTCCCCTGGAACTGGAGTTAAGGATGGTTTGTAGCCACCATGTGGGTGCTGGGAATCGAACCCGGGTCCTCTGTGAGAGCAAACAGTGCTCTTAACTGCTGAGCCATCTCTCCAGCCCTGAGAAAAATTTTTTTAAATATTAATTTATTTTTGGCCGGGCATGGTGGTGCATGCCTTTAATCCCAGCACCTGGGAGGCAGAGGCAGGCGAATCTTTGTGAGTTCGAGGCCAGCCTGGTCTACATAGTGAGTTCCAGGACAGCTGGGTCTACAAGGAGACCCTGTCTCAAAAAAGACAAAAAAAAATTATTTTTTATGTGTATGAGTGTATTGCTTGCAGGTATGTAAGTGCACCCCTGCCATGCAATGCCTGTGGAGGTCAGAAGAGAGCATCAGATCCCCTGGAACTGGAGTTACAAACAGTTGTTAGCCAGCATGTGGATACTGGGAATTGAACCCAGATCCTGTGCAAGAGCAGCCGGTGCTCTTAACCACTGAGCCATCTCTCCAGCCCCAATACTACTTAAGTATTTTCATACTACTTAAGTATTTTTTACTGATGTGGAACATGCATCTTCAGAGGGCTACTACATGTGTGGGGGTTTTGGTTGGTTGGTTGGTTGGTTGGTTGGTTGGTTGGTTGGTTGGGGTTTTTAAAATATTTTTTATTTATTATTTTTATTTTATGTGTATGAGTGTTTAGCCTGCATGTATGTAAGTGCACCGTGTGCACGCAATGCCCACAGAGGTCAGAAGAGGGTGTCAGGTTCCCTGGAACTGGAGTTATGGACAGTTGTTAGCTTCCATGTGGGTGCTGGGAATTGAACCCCCATCCTTTGGAAGAACAGCAAGTATTCTTAGCCACTGAGCCGTTTCTCCAGCCCCAGTTGGTTGGTTTTTGAAACAGAATCTCACTATGTAGCCCTGGATGGCCTCAAACTTGCTATATAGACCAGGCTGGACTGAAACTCAGAGATCCACCTACCTTCTGCCTCCCAAGTGCTGGGACTAAAGGCATGTACCACCTTGCCAAGCTACATGTGTTTGGGTTTTTTATTTTTATTTTGTGTGTATGGATGTATTGCTTGTTTGTATGTAAGTATACCCATGTTTTGCAGTGCTTGAGGAGGTCAGAAGAGGGTATCAGATTCTTTGGAACTGGAGTTACAGATGGTTGTTAGCTGCCATGTGGGGGCTGCATAATGAACCTGGTCCTCTGCAAGAGCAGCCAGTTCTCTTAACCACTGAACAATCTTTCTAGCTCCACGTGTATGTCTAAAAGGTCATAGTACACATTCTGAGAAGCCTCTCAAGTCAGTGTCCTGTCTATGCATCCCCTGCAACATCTATAGGGTCCAGCATCTCACAGCAGGGCTAAAGCCCTAAAACACATATACCTAACTGCCCTTTACAGCTTCCCTGCCCAACAGTGGGGAGGCTGTAGCAGAGAATGAGCTGGGGATAGAGCTGGAAGTCAGGGATCTCTGCTTCAAACAGAAGTTTTGCCCTTACCCTATCTTAGGTAGTTAGGCTTCAGGTAAATGGCATTTGTAGATAGAAGTCTTTCTTTTACTAGGGTGGGTGGGGAGAAGAGAAAGAGGAGGAAAAGAAAAAGGATAGTTTGGAAAATTCATAATCTCTCAAGCCAGCCTTTTCCAGATATGAATAATTCTGCCTGTTAGAAAGTCCCTTGTTATTGCGAGGACTATGCCCTGAAGGCTGCCTTGATGCTCACAGACCATTTTTCATCTTTAACTCTGTAAAGGTAGCCAACTGACTCTTCTAAGGCCTGTCTCACCAGACATTTTCATAGGGGAGACCTCATGAGGTAGTTTTTGTGATTTTTTTCAGATCTATTTAAAAAATTATCTTTGTTTGACAGATCTCATCGTGTTCCCACTTCAGGGGACCTTAGAGAGTGCCGTCAGCCAGGGACTTCTGGGGAAATCTGGACCATTTTTTATGAACCTTCTACTACAATTTCCATCTTTAAGAAGAAGCTCAAGGGTCAGAGTCAACAAGATGACTGTAATCCCCTTGTGAGTGACTAAAACCCCACCATGCCCAGGACTTGAGGCTCCTCTTTGAGCTTAAAGCTGCTGCAGTCAACCTCCCCTGAGGACTCTTTCCTGTTTCTTCCCTTTGGTCTCTTAGGGACACACTCCTACAGACTGGGAAGGGGCACCCTGCTTCAGGGGACCTGCACTTAACATGGGTACATAAGGCCCCAGAGCCTACCCTGCCCTGTGTGTCTCTGCGTCCCACTGGGGGTGTCAAGACTGTGGGGATGAGCTGAAGAAGTCACAGCTGGCCCTGATTCTAGAAGACTGTTAGGTGGTGGGTAGGTTTAGTATATGATGAGTTTTTCTTGCTTCTTCTCTATTTTGTCCACATACAGGTCAGTTTCCCCTGGTCTTTACAGTTTGTAACAGGACCAGACTAAAAGAATCCTCAGGGTCTCTTGAAGGCTGGCCTGGACCCTATAAGTGTGGTCTCCCGGGCCCTAGCACCCCAAAGTGTGAGGAGGGCCAGTGTTCTGTGCTGACCCCATAGCTTTGTTCTCTAATGCTAAGATGTGCCTCATCTAACTTTGGGGGCCGAAGAAGAGGGTCAAACCCAATATCTTTTTTTTGTCTAGAGGCCTCTTTCCAAAGCTCAGTAACCTGCAGGGCAAGCCTGAGGACTTACATATTTTAAAAGTCACAGTTCACATTCTAGGAAGCCTCTCAAGTCACTGTCCTGTCTGTGCATCCCCTGCAACATCTGAAACACTCTTTTGCTTATCCATGCAACAGACCATGGGAAGCTTTGCAGACACACAGTAAACTGCTCGTGTATTGGACTTACCTGGCCTGGCCCTCAAGCAGTTCATAGCCCTGTGGAACCTGAACCAGGCCCATCTCTGTCCTTCCAGCCATGTCCCAGTTCAGAACCAGGAATATAAAGACTATAGCCCAGAGCTGGGGCTGTAACTCAGCAGTAGAGGGCTGCCTTGTATACATGAGGTCCAAGGTTCAATCTCTGATACTGCTTTTAAAAAATACTGTAGCATAACCTGTGGGCAGAATCCTGTGAGACATGGGGCCTGTGGTCCCTTCATAAGGTGTCTCCTATTTTAAAAGATAAAAACTACCATGAGGGCTGTGTGCTTCTTAAGGGGATAGAGTGTGGTTAGGAGTGACTGTGAAGAAGGAGAGGGCTCTTGTCTTGCCCCATTGCTTTGTCCCTCACACTGGGAGGCAGACTACAGAGGTTGGCACAAAGAGAAGGCAAGGCTTGGGAACTGAATACTCCAAGGATAGGCCAGAAGAGTGAAAGCTCCAGCTGCAGTGGTTACCCATTGTGAGAGGAAGGGCCATCTCCAACTGAGGTCCCACAGTCTGGAAGTGGCTTTTGTCCACAGCAACTGAGAGGAACAGCCTGTGCCCTGAAGGCTGGGCCTGGACCTTGGTCAGTGTATGGCTCCCCTGCCAGCACTTGGATCTTGGTGTTTGTTGGGCTTCCCTGGGTACCCTCCTTGGAACATGGTGCCTACCTCCCTAGTCTTTAAGTCACTGTCATGGGCCCTTTGTAGAATTCAAGTAACCCATCTGCATCTGGCTGCTCCCAGGAGAGAGGGTTGTGTGGGGCAGCCGGGAAGCATCCTCAGGGAGAGGCAACAGGAGTGCAGAAGAGGTGATGACCAGAGCTGATGGGTAGAGGGACAACTGGAGGAGAGAAACAACGCAGGTGGCCAGGGTGCTGACCCAGCTCCTGTGAGAAGCCTGCTGGGTGACAGAGAGCTGGGTGCCATTTCCACCCTTTGATCTGGAAAGAGTGGTCAGTCTGGAGCAGCTCTCCACAGGCTCCTGGGTCTGAAGACGCACTTCCCCCTCCCTAGGAAGATCACTGGAAATAGGCTGACAGGAGCAGTTTCCGCTCCAGGATATTCATGATTTTTTGTGGAATCTCCTCTGAGATCAAGTGTTGGGTGTGTAGAGTCACAGAAGGCCATGTGCACAGTACAGAGAGAACATGGGATCTATCCCAGTCTCTGATCACTGGCCCCAGCTTCCCTCAAGCTGCCACCCACCTGCTTCATCACAGCCCAGGCACAGGAAGCCAAGCCCCAGTGTGCTGGCAGCTGCAGCTGGAGCAGCCATTTCTCCGAGTCCCCAGGAAGGGCAGTGGACATGCCCACGCTTCTCTTGCTGCTGGCCTGGGCACAGCCCAGCATTCCAGAATCTACTTCCTCTCTGGGAAGCAGCCCCAGGAAACACAAGCCCACCTCAGGAAACTGTGGAGCAGTGGTAAGGTCTGTAAATCACCAAGGCCACACCTCTAGCAATGACAGACACAGCCTCAGTTACAACCTGTCAACAGCATGCCACAGAGGACTCTTCTGCAGGTAAATACTGAGAGGCAGATCCCAAAGAAAGAGCTGAGGTACTCTTCCAGGAGCAGGAGGAAAGAAGCACTTCTTCTGAAGAGAGGCAGGTGGAGGTGATCCTGAAGAAACCTAACAGTGCAGAAGACTGGCAGGGCCCAGCTGCTTGCTCCCACTTGGCCCTTCTGAGACAGCAGGTTGAGGCCCAGGGTGTCTTGTGCTCTTCCCCACTTGTCTCTTTGCTTATAAAACAGAGACTGAGTAGGAAGGCCGGTACCTTTCCCCATATCAGTCAAGATGGGGCTGAGGCCTCTTGGACTTCTCAAGTATGAGCTCTGGCCTCAGACTTATCAGCCATAAGCTCTCCAAGAGCAAAGCCTTGGCAAGTACAGCTGACCTGGCTTCAGGGCAAACCTATGCGATATGTCTAGGCCTGGCACCATCCCATTCCCCACTGCCAGCCCAGGCAACACTCCTCCTGACCCTCCTCATTGGCCACTGAACTGACACCATCAGGGCTCACACAGGCTGTCACCCAACCCTGGGGCAGTCCACATTCAAACTTCAAGAGCACTTAGAAGCAGATGGCCTCTAGGCCCTGTCAACCTCTCTCCTGGGGCCACGCTAGGTATCACTAAGACAGCCCCTCCACTGCCCTCCATGGTAACCTGGTACCTCTTGGGTTTAGAATCTCCTATCTGGTGTTTGATGTCTGCTTTCATTACTACCTTGGGAATTGTTAACCTTCTGATAGTTTCCTTTGGTGTCTTTGTTTACCTTCCTCATTGTTCTACCTCCTGGCTACATCTCAGCCTAGCTGCTCTGGTGGGTGTGGGGGTGTCAGACCTGCCAGTTGTACCCCCAACCCTGAGCTGCAGGGCCTGGAGGTAGGCAAGCTTCACCCTCTGCCCACAGAACCTGGGGGTCTTTGCACAGGCTCTGTTTTACCATGTTGGAGCTGAGCACACTGGCGAAGGCAGAAGTAGAACAGAGAGGACAGTCAGGTGAATCTCCCGCTTCAGAGGGAAGGAAGAACTTTCCTGCCTGCACAGGGAGCTGCCATCCCTGTAGCTTTTGTGACACCAAGACCTTCCCATTTCCAAACTCACCCTCCAGCAGGGATTTGACTTTGGACAAGGCTTTTTTTGTAAACATGCTCTTAATATACAACTTTGAGAATAAAATAGAAACATCATGTATTTTAAAATATAAAGGTGTGATGCACTGTATACAATTTAATATATATTTTTAGGATTTTGTTATTTAAGAAAATGGAATGTAATGGTACTTAGCTTTTGAAAAAGAGAGAAAATGTTATTTTTACTGTTTGGAAAAAATAAATATTCTCATTGTTGTAGAAACACCAGTGGGCCCTAGCCTGTCATTTTTACAGGGGCTCCCCCAAGGATCTGGCCCCACAGGAAGATGTACAGTGCTGGGATCCTTTGCCCTTCCAAGTCCCAAGCCTGGCATTGGCTGACTTCTCCCAGTGGTCTCTGGATTCTCTGCAGTGTTATTATTGCTGGACCACAGTCAAGGAGCCACTAGCAAGCTCTGAAGGCCGAGGACTCCAAATCAGCTCTGCATGTGGGTGCCCAGCCTCAGCTTCATACTTGGACACGGGCATAGTGTCTGTACCTCAGAAGGTGGTGGAAGGCCAATGGGAAGAATGTGCAGTTATCTCAGGAAGAATTGGTCTGGCCTCTCAGAGTGACCTGATCTCTTCCTGTTCCCACTCTCTCCTTTCTGTTGGTTTTGGTTTTTTGAGGTAGGTTCTACTGCTGCTGCCCAAACTGGCCTCAGACTCTTGGACTCAAGCAACCGTCCCACCGTAGCCTCCCAAGTAGCTGGACTACAGTTGGCCATCATGCCTTGTTCAGCCGCTTCCTTTTTTAGTACATGAATAGAAGTTCCACTATCTTAACAGCCTTTTGCCATGGTCCCTGTAGTGCCAAAGAGGTAAGGAAGGTTCAGTGAGCCAGCATGGGTGGTAGTTGGAGCACAGCCCTATAGTCAGCCAGCCAGGGTTCTGATTCCTTCATCAGCTTGAGGCCAGAGACAGTAAAACAGGAGGGCATTGAAGGGTTCCAGCCAGGAGTCCGTCAGACTTCAAACTTAGAAAGAGTTCCTTTTTGCATTTAGTAACACCAAAGGCAAGCAGACCAGTTAGGAAGCTGAAGAAGCTACAATGGTCCAGGCAAGAGATGTCAGGGACTGAGGAAGCCCCAAACCAACACTGAGAAAGGGAAAGGCTGGCCACACTCCTAGGTCAGAGGGATGTGCTTGTGCCTGAGTTCTCAGGTTACACTCGAACCCTACTTACCATGGGACCTCTGTGCCTGCTGTCTTACCCTTCCAACCCAGGCAGTTATGGTGCATTGGGTTGTATGTGTCTTGCCTGGTAGTAGTTGCTTTTATTCTAGAATGTGCCCTGGAGTCAAGAACAAAGAAGTGTATAGGATAATGCTCAGGTATTCTGACCGTGATGGCTGGGTTGGGACAAGGGCCACTCTTTGATGTGTTCCATATGAGCCAAGTCCAGTGACATCACTGTGGGCCATCAAAGCAGGGTTATCAGGCCTTAGACAGATGGCCTGAGACCCACACAAAGCTCTCGTCTGAAGAACACCTTCCATGTTAATATCCTTGGGTGAGTGACTGGGGAGGCAGAAAGCTTCAGAGGACTGTGTTGACACACTTGGGGCAGGTAAAAGGCCACTGATGTGGGCTAGAGCAAGATAGGGTTAGAGCAAGAGAAGACATCCCCGGAAGCCAAGGAAGCTACCAGCAAAGCAGACCTGTTCTGGATGCATTCTGGCTGACTGCTGCTCCTTTGAGTCCCGATTCCAAATTCTCAGGAGCTGATCTGGCTGGATTTTGCAAAGAAGCAGGGTTCTTAGAGACCAATCTAATCAAAGAACCCCACCACCACCACCAGAGAAATGCAGACTGTCAGAGTGTGGTATGCCCAGCTCAGACCTCCCACATCAGCGCCCCCTGAGAAGATTCCAGATCATTTTAGTGCTCACCCATGTCTGACCACCATCTTCATCTGTTTGAGAACTTTAACTGCAACTCACTTCTGTGAAGAATTGTCCACATAGGCAGTTGTGCAAGTTGTGGTCGCCACTTTGTCACTGATGGGGGGAGGGGGGAGTATTACTTGACTATAAAGACTTTCAGCCCCAGATGCATTGCAAGATCCAGAGGAGTGTGACAAGGGGACAAGTGCATCCCAGCAACCACCCCAGAGGCGTCAGCAGTCTGTGCCCCTCTCACAGCACATACAACCCTCCCCAGCTTCTACCCGAGGGGTGACACTGCTGCCACCCTTGCAACGTGACAGCACCATGAAAGGCCAGCTCAACTCGAGTGTTTATCTTTTCTGAGCTTTCCTTCACTTTCCCAGAACTGCTCTTCAATGAAGGAAAATATTTGTAATGACAGGAAATGGCTGGTGGAAAACAAACGGCGTGGCCTTGCTGGTGAATTTCTTAGAGACAAACTGGACTGGAACAGAAAAATAAGTAGATGAGACCAAAGTGTACAACTGCCCTGCCCAATGAACCCCCTTTGAATCATGGGACAATAGGAGCAGGAAGAGACCTCCAAACCCACTTGAGTGGACTTTGGGGGCTCCTGACCTTGACCTCATGTTGTTAGACATCCCCCACATCCTCCAGAGCCAGCACCAGGGCAGCCTCGGCAGGGTCCTTTGTCAGGCTCTTCTTCCTGCGCCTGAGAGAAGGTTGGACAAAAGTGACCTTGTCTCCAAGCTTGGCAGTCATATGGCCATGTCTTCTCCTCAGTGGACCATGCATGTTGAAACTGCAGGCAGAATCTGGGGCTCAGAGAACTGGGAAACTTTTGTTCTTCCGTGACAGGGTTGGGTCCCCACAGGGGTATGTTTTCACTCAACTGAAAGGGACACTTTGGAGATAGAATATCTCAACTTCAAATGCAGTAGCATTTGCCTGTAGCTGGAAGTCTTCATTTCTGGTCTCCAGCTGTTGTCAGGCCACCAGGCCCCCACTGAATGGGCCTACGCCTGCAACTGGAAATAGGCAGTGCTGGGCTGGATTGCACGTAGACCAGCCTCTGTCTAGGAAGCCCATCTACAAGACAGCTATCTGTGAGAACACCCTGTACCCTCCCTGGGTGGATGCTGGGCTTGGAAATAAACCTGTTAGCTCTGGGTGATTAGGCTGGGGAATGGAGCTCAAGAATTACTTAAGAAAGAAATGAACTTCAAAGCTAGAGGTCCTCCTATGGAGAACACAGAACTTTCTGAAACTGCAGAGTCCTTTTAGTTCACAGGAGTGTCTGCTATCCTTAAATAAGGCCACTAAACACAAAAACTTAGATGGGGCCACTATTTTGTGTGTTGATCATGTTACTATATCTCGTTAAATGGCCTAGGTTGCTAATACCAAAGGCAAAAGTCAGGTATGTCCAAGGGGTATTCAGATCTCATATTTAGCCAAATAGAGGGGCAGCTTTTCATGGGCCTGGGTGAACTGAGGGAAGATGCAGAATGTGGGAGGCTAATCTCAACAGGAAACAACAGCTCTCACTTTCTGCAGTACCTACTGTGTGCCAGACTCTGCCAAACACAATACAGACATTGCTGAATCCTTTTGTTTGTTTAGGTGATGTTTAATTGCTAGAAAAGATGACCTACAAACTTGGGGTCATTCAAAGGTCTCAAGGTTCTTAATGCTGAACCAAAACAAAACAAAACAAAAAATGCTCCTCAAGTCAAAATCTACCAGTCACTAAAACAATCATTTTCTTCTGACAAATGTCTCTCCAGGTCTGAGGTGTGATGTCATGGATCGCTCATCCTGCCTTGGAACTACTGAAGAACTATAGGGTTTTTTTCAATCCCCATATATTCTTAGTTGGAACAGACCCCTGGTTGCACAGGCAGATTTAACAAGAAGAAAACAGCCAGGCTTGGTGGCACACCCCTTTAATCCCAGCACTTGGGAGGCAGAGGCAGGCAGATTTCTGTGCTATGGAGGCCAGCCTGTTCTGCATAGCAAGTTACAGGCCAGCTGGGGCTACAGGGAGACCCTGTCTCAAAAACAAAACAAACCAAATAAGGAAGAAAACACAATGATATTATTGAATACTTTGCAATGACTCAACAACTAAGTCTCAAAGAAGAGGTCTAGCCAATGGAGGTCCACTTGCCCCAAAACTGAGGTCCCTCCCTCCTGTTGTACTGCAGCCTCCCCTACACTGAGTAGAGGGACCCTAACAGCTCATCAACAAGAATGTCTCCAGACAGCCCAGGAAGGGTGTGAACCCATTTGCCTAGAACAAAGAAGTCATCTAACCTATACATCTTCCCCATTTGAGAACGTATACTCCTATGAGAATCAGATGAATGGGTGCAGTCCTTCCCCACAAAATGATGCCACCCACAAAACTTTGCATAGCTACTCCAGAGGTACAGAGACCAGGAAACCCACAGACTTCAGGCTTAGGATCTCTTCATTAAGCTATGAACACTGTTATTTGAAGACTAAAACAAGCCAAATGTCATAACAATAGCAGTGATAATAATAGTAATCATGGACACATCTATTGACCACTGACTCTCAAGCGCTTATGCCAGGGCTTGGTAAGCATTTTCTTTACCCCCCCCAATACTAAATATTTTATTTAATATATTTTTAATGTTTAATATTGGGAGGCACACATGCCACAGTACATATGTGGAGGTCAGAAAACAATTTTGTGGAGTCACTTCTGTCTTTCCACCTCTGCATGGATCTGGGGATTGAACTCAGGTCACCAAGCTTGTGTAGTGAGTGCCTTTACCTACTGAGCCATCTCAGTGGCCAATTATTTATTTCTTTTTAAAAATATGTTTTTATTTTCTGAGTATGAGTGTATTGCCTGCAGGTATATAAGTACACTGGTGTCATGCAATGCCCGCAGAGGTCAGAAGAGGGTGTCAGATTTCCCTGGAACTGGAGTTATTATGGACGGTTGTTAACTGCCGTGTGGGTGTTGGGAATCAAACTCAGGTCCTCTGCAAGAGCAACCAGTGCTCTTAACTGCTGAGCCATTTCTCCAGCCCATTTATTTCTTATTTTTAAATTTTATTTTTATAAAAAATAAAATATTTTTAATTTAAAAAATGAAATTAAATTTTAGTCAATTGCTTAAATCCATGGCCTAAAAAAGGCACAAATTACAGATTTAGAAAATATCAATCAGAACTAGTTTTTTCTAGTACATGTCTGTTTTTGACTTTGAAAAAAATATTTTTATTTATTATTTTTAATTTATGTGTTTGAGTGTATTGCCTGCATGGATGTAAGTGTGCCCATGTCATGAAATCCCTTGCAGAAGTCAGAAGATTGCGTTAGATCC